AGGACACTAATCCTGTTCGGCATTGGCTCCAAAAAATCCAACACTGCCAACGGCCCAAATTTCTCTCTCTTCTTCTGCATCTTCATCTACTTCATTCATATAACCCGATTGTAATTGTTCTATCTTCTGTCGTTCTTGTGATACAAGTTTGGATAAAACGCGTTTATGAAAATCAACAAAAGTTTTGGCCGTTTGAGAATCGATTGTTGATAAATAGTTCTAGATTTCAGCGAAACATTAGCAATAAATATTAAAGTTCTTCATAATATAAGAGAACTAGAAATGAATTTACCTGCATCACGTTCTCGCCATCCAGAAGCTGAAGTACATACAACAACGCACGCTCAGACGCAAGTTTCACAGGTACATTTCGATCTCGAGCACACACCACAATTTGAGGAATAATCTCGGAAAGATGAGGCTCCAAAATCTAAAATTAAAATAATTTTTAGCTATAATTCATATTAACATAAAAATTTTTATTTCCATACCTGAGGATACTTTCTTCCAACTACTCGAAAGACAACCAAAGCCAATCGTTTTGTCTCTCCAACCAAGGTAGCGGGTTCACGGACATCATGTACCAATGCTTCTACAAGGCGACTTATGGTATTTGGTTCATGATAAAGCTCTGTAAGCAAAATTTTACCTGCTGCAATAATTGAATTATCTGCAATTGACGGCTATAAAAGAGTAAAGAGTGAGTAATGTCATTATAATGCCAGCAATTTATGAAAATTAACTTGCAATAATTTACCTGATTATTCCTGCTGCCAGTAGATACAATACTAACTATTTCTTTATTAATTCCTAAATCAACAAAAACCCGTGGTGCTTCTACAAGAATTGCGTTGATGGCCAAAAGCGAACTTTGCGTCGGATCTCCAGATAGAATATAATTTCTATTAACATAAACGATAAATGTTATAGTGAATTGAAAATTATAATTGAATCAAACTTTTTATGAATCAAACAATAAAACTTACGTGATGAGAGGTATGGCTTCTTGGTGCGGAAGATGCTTACACAGACTTCCAAGAAGACGTGCGGCACCAACCACCATTCCTTCTACAAAATATACATATATTCAGTTTAATTTAATTCAACATCATAAATGCAAATTATGTACACATACCGGAAGAATCATTTAACCCATTTGCAATAACTTCAAGAACACCCTTCTTTGAAATTTCACTCATACCATCTCCTGCTTTATTCACAACGCTTTCCAAAGCATTCAGCATAGTTTCTCGTACACTAGGCTCACTCGTTTTTATTCCGGTAACCAATTCCAGTATCAAAGGATCTACACGAGTTTGTAGTGAAATCAGAGTACTAAGAGCTTTTGCGGCACGTGATCGAACAAGGGCACTTGTCGGATCGGTCAAAGATTTGACAAAAGTACGTTGAAGTTGTGGGAGGAAAGGTTTGAGGAGGGCAGAAACCTTTTCAAGTAATAAGCTAAACATTTACATGTTAATGCGTCAGTAAAGAAAACTCGGCATTTTCCTGATGGTAAACATTTAAATAAGTTACTAACCTCAATGTCTGCAATATAGCTGCCTTCACTTGAGGAGGATAACGATCACCGATTATACGAATAAGTGGGCCCGTTATTTGTGTCACAAATGGCCGGAGAGCATCAGCTGACGTTCGTTGAATAAGATCACCTATTCCTAAAGCGGACTGTTCACGAATTTCAGCGGTACCATACATCAATCCATGTAAAAATATTGGAAGAATGGGGCTTATTCCTTTTGGTAAGCAAAATCCTGTTAAGTCAACTCCAGGAACCCCGACACCTTTCACTGAACGACGAAGAGGCGTAACCAACTGTTCCAGATCGTCTTTCTTTACAGATTTGGTCACAGCATTTAGAGCATTCCATGCTGACTTGACTACCTCTAGTTGATGATCATCTAAAAGTGATACTAAAACTCGTATCCATTCTGTCGTGTATCTTGAAAAGTCCATCTTAGTCTCACTGCAAAATATTGCAACAATGTCGCAGGCACCAGCTCGTTTTGCAGGTTCATCACTCTTAACTGCTTCAAACAGTATTATCATCAAGTTTTGAAGGCCTTCAGTACTATCAATAGAAAGCAACAGTGCACGCTCTGTTTCTTGAAGCTCTGAAATTACAGAATCATCAGTCTCCATGCTCAAAGACGCCATGAGTGCTGTCAAAATATTCGAAAGTCTTTTGTTAAGAGCAGCACCGGCAACAGTTACTAACGATGCAAGAGCTCGAGCATTGAAGGCAGTAATGGGCACGGTGATGAGGTTAGGTATGAGAACCGGAAAAACTACATTAGCACGCACTGTCATTATTTCTTTCAAAGCTTCTAACGCATAAGTAGAATCTTCTCCAGATTGGAGGGAATTAAGAAGGGTAGGCAATATTTCATCGATTGCTTTATCACCAACATGTTGCTGAAGTGTGTCGAAAGCTTTAAATGTAGATATG